GTGTCTTCCTCCCCCCCGCCGGTGGGCTCTTAGCCTGCCACAGAGACAGGAGGCTGCACCCTCTTTCCGTGGGACTCGACTGGAAGCAGCAGGATCCATGGCAACATTCCAAAAAAAAAAACCAGCGTTCTTTACACCCATAGCCAGTATTTTGTTTGGCTTTTAGTGGCATTAATGCTGAAAGCGAGAGAGAGGAAGAAAAGAGGGGGGGAGAGGTGCAGGAAGGCTGTTCTCAGAATATGTGGACAAAGTCTCTCCTGTCAATTGATGTTGACCATTCTAGCAACACGCCAATAAAATTTCAAATTGAAATTTATCTTTTAATTTTTATTTCATGGCTTTAATCCATGATAAGTTTTAAACATCTGGGACCGTGGATCTGGATGAGATTCTAGCTAATATTTGCCTTGCAGCTGACCAAAAGCATCAGTCATACTTTGCTAACCGGGGGAGGAAGTGGGTGTTGGGGCGGGAGGTAAATGCCTGTTTGTTTTGTTTCTTAACAATGTTGCTTCTACCTGTAGCTGCAACCCAAATTTTGTCCCAGCCAACTCTGACAAGTTATTTACAGGGGAAAATGCTTTCACATTTCTGGTTGAAATCTATCACATTTTTAAATATTTGTGTTTGCTTTCTGTTTGCAGCTCTCTAAATGTCATCTTAATGCATAGGATCTTTCCACCTCTTCCCTCCTCCCACTTTCCTCCTCCCATCCCTTTGTTTTTTCTGTTGAAAAAAAGTTGGTGAGCAGCTGCTTTTCTTAAAACTAAGTTCATTGGTGAAAGGAAGCGGTGTATTTTGGAGAACAGTATAGTGTTGCTCCTCAGAGATCCAGCATCCAGGATCTCATGCTTGAGCTGTGGATTTGTATCACTGTAGTGATTCTCACTGCACCACTGCTTCAATACCTCTTCATGCACAGATCAACAGAATCCTGCAAGAAACAAATAATTTTGAATTCTGCATGTTGCTTCTTTGAAACAGCAATTTATTGCATATTTGCAATTCCACTTAAAGAAAATAGATGTTATGTGGCCAAGTTCATCTTGCATTTCAAATTCCCAGCAACTAAAATTTCAGTGTAAGTTTAGAAATCCACAGCAGCGTTTGAAAGAATCCTTTTGATGTGATGTGAGCAATGCATTGTCTGTATTTCAGATCCTGTTCAGTCATTGCTTAATTCTAAGTTTTGAAGTGAAAAATTAGAGAATTAAATATATTTTAAAAAAATCTAAGCAAATTTACTGGGGCATTTCTTTTTATTATTCTGAGCTGCATACAACTTGTATTGAGCATTTTGTCTTTGCATGTTTCAGTGCTGAAAAGAAAATGCATTTGGTTTTGTCCTCTCTTCCCACATCAATGTCAGATAACAGAAGAGAAGTAATACCCCTCTTTTGTATATATGATACACTCCACCCCCTATCAATGTACTGTGTCCCAACTCTTTTTTTTTTTTTTTTTTTGTATTAAACAATGTCATAAGCAACCTTGTTGCAACAGCAATTTTATTTCTACAAACCATTTGCCTCCCATAGCTGAAACAAGGAGGGTGGAGTGTACTTCATTGTATTAAAAGTGTCAGCATAAATATATTTAACAAAAAGCCCCCTAAACCCCAAACAGAACACCTCAAACCTGTATCACTGAAACTGCACCCTTTCAGTGAAGGTCATCTTACTGGCTTTGTGCTTGCTGATACACCTGGCAAAGTTATGTGGTAATAGGCAGCGTTACTTTTATCCTCTCCCCTAAAGTACCTTGTTTAGTGCAATATAGGGTAAAAATGTGAATTGTAATTACTGTCAAATTATTGTTGAAATAGCCTCAAACCATAGCATACCTTTTAAATGTGTCATAATTTAGTCTTATACAGACAGTAGTTGCTGTCTGATGATGATAGCCTTTCCCATAACATGATACACAAATGCTGTGTGGAAGATTCTATCTTAATTGTTGTACCACATTAGATATCCTAAATTGTCTGTAAGAATTTATATACCACTTGGTGGGAGCATTGTAGGATTGCAGAAAGGCACTGGCTTTGCAACAAGGCACTTATGATAAAATAAGCGATAGGAGAAGGAAGGTAGGCAAAAGCAATTTATTTGAATTTTTCCCTTAAATAATATGCATCAGAGACAGATTACAAGAGGCAGGAGGAATTACATAAGAAGGAAATAAGTAACAATGTTTGTGAATGAAGGCAAGAAGAATGAAGGAAAGCCACAGTGTTATTTTTGATTGCTGGAATGCTTTTTTTTCCTTCAACTTGCTTTCAGATTAATAACATAGGATTAGAGACAGATTCCTTTCAAGAACAGAATTGTAAGTTCTCACTAGTGAAAATTTAGAATATAGTGGCTTTAAACTTTTCATTGTGCTTTCTGAATACTCCACTCTACCTAAACAACCATTTGAACTCTGGATTTTTTTTGTAATGATTTTCTAACCTGATTCGTAAACATGACAATTTTCTTTGGTTTACCTAGCTAGATGTAGAATGGTATTTTGTAGTATGTAGAAGTTGTTACAGGAACTATTCTATGCTTATTTATTCAAGCTCTGTCACAAGTCTTTGACATCACTACGGACTTGTAGAGATAAAGGTACAATATAAAGCCTTAGTCCTTTGCATAAGGACTGGAGAAAATATATTGAAAATAGTCACAGATGGTATCAAGGGTACCCATACAGTTTCTTTTGTGTTCTTTTCTGTTACTAGATTTCAGTCCAGTGCTACTGACAGCAATCTGGCCCTGATTCATAGTCCATTGAAGTTAATGGAAAGGCTCTTGCTGACTTCAGTGAGTGATCAGTGATCAGATTTTATTGTAGGAGGTGGTTAAAATTTGTGGACCTTGAGAAGGGAGACTTAAGATAACACTTCAGAGACCAGAAGGGCCGCCTTTCTGAGGTGGGGGACAGTGGACACAGGCAACACTGAGAAAATAAGGGAAGAAAACATACCAGTTCTGAAAAAAGCTGTATTAACCTGAGACAGCAGTAGGGAATCTGCAAAAAAAAGACTGATTGAAAAGTGGATATAAAAAGTTGTTCAGTGCCTTGAAACAAGAAATGGAAGGCAACAGAGCAGTCAGCTGCAAGAAAGGCAATGATGTGAATGACTGACAGGTAAAATGTAATTTATTATACTCATCTTTCAGGATCAGTGGCCTGCCAGAGTTAACATTTCCATTTCCAGCAGTAAAGATATTGACAAATTGTATTATATCTGTGGAATCTGTTTACATTCTTTGGTCTAGCTACCTAGGGCAAATATTTACATCTCATTCATTGCTCTTGAAATACTGACTTGTAATGTGACAGCAATGTCAGGATACTTTGCACATCTTTTTTCTGTGTCATGTTTCAAGCTTTCTGTTAGCTATTTGGGTAACAGGTCTATAGAATCTCTTTTGCTTAGATATGATTTTCTTTCTCTTTTCAAAATGAAATCTTTTGAATTGCTTTGAGACTAACATTTTATTAAAAATTCAGTTCATGTCCAATTGAAACATAGAGAGCCTTCATGAATTGTTTTCCTGTCATGACCAAAATATTTACTGGTTATTAGTTGTACATATTGGAAGAGGACTGTAATGCTAGCAAAATAGGTTTGGCCACTGTCAAATTTTGTCTCCATCTTACATTTCCAGGTTACTTTGTTTTCATTTACTAGGATTCTTTTTCTCCTTTTAAATCTTATGGTTGTATAAAATGAAAAAGCCAACCAAACAAAAAAACAAACCAAAGCCCTCATAGTGTACTTTTTATGGCAATATGCTGTTGATCCACATAGCGGATTTCAGGTTTAAAGCAGGGTGCAACAAGACATGGCCTTCAGGTTGTGATAAGAAATGGCCCTTGGTCTGTGCTAGAGTGTGCACAGTCTTAATTATCCTGCCTCATTTCACTTTAGTGTCTTTCATATTCAAGTAAGTAATGTGCAAAACTCTGCCAGAGTTTATAGACCTGGTTATGCAATGTATTGAACATCTGTAACTCCAAACACTGCTTGCTAGAGTTGAGGGAATGCTGTATCTCACTCAAGTCACAGAGCATCTTGTGGGATCAGGTACTGCAGTCTGCCCCACCTTCTGTCTGCAGCTACAGAGGAAGTAGCAGTCTGGGGTAGCTACTGTCAGTTTTAAGATTTAGTTATTTTCTAAGAAATATTTCTACTAGAGTAACTTGTGGACAGTGTTCTGTCTGTAATTATAACTGGATGTGACTAAAATGTTTTATGTTTTGCTGCTTGTTGTGTGAAAAAAGTGTGCTTTCTGCTTATAACCCAGGAAAAAGGTGGAAGTCCCAGTCCTAAAAAATGAATCCAGAAATATACAAGGAGGTATGATTGAGCTATCATGCTAAGGGTGGGTTCACTGCAGACTTAGGGTCTAAAGGACAAGAGCATATGGCTAGAGTGTGAGCAAGTGCTGCTGTGAGTTTGAGTGTCATTGTTTCCATGGCAAGTCTGGAATTCATTGGTTACTTTATTACTATGAAATATTTAATTTCTCTATACGCTGAGTTCAAATTTGACATGTAAAACTCTCCTATGCTTGTGGATCCTCTGACACAATGTTGGTTTGATCTGTCAGGTTTTTTATGGTTTTATTGTCAAGAAAATTAATACTGGGATCAGGTACTTACTGAACTGCTTGTAAATCAAAAACAGAGTAGTGTAGATGTTAGGTTGAAAAAATGGAATGGACTAAGAATCTTCTGTTACTGGGCATATCTGTGGATTTGTTCCAGATTATATAGATATAATATATAAAGGTATAAACTACAAGTGCTGTATTTTTAAAGTGGTTGTGGCATTCTGCATTATCTCTTTTGTAAAATAGTATTATCTTGTTTAAAGATTCCAAATCCCCAGTGAGGTTCTATTTTTTATATTGAAATTCCACCATGCTATTGAAATTAAAAGTTACTTTAACCATACTTACCTTTGAGAAATAAACTAGATTTTTTTCT